AGCCGCAGCTCGCGCCCGTCTCTGGAGTTCCTTTAAGCAGTGCTCTTAAACCCCTCTCCTCGCGCACCAGGAAACAAAGAGGGAAGAAAAAGTCTCTTGCCTCTTTGGCAGGTGCAGACTTTTCCCCGGACTCCCTCCCAGCTAGCCGTGGTTCACTAACCCCTTCAGGCTATGTTCAAGCCACCAACCCCAGCCCTCTCCCTGCGCTCCGACTGAAACCGAAACCCAAGCCTCAGCTCGCAGCCCCACCCGCCCCGGCGGGTGAGTAGACAAGCCTCTCGGGCTGGTGAGTCCCGGTCGGCACCGATCCTCTGTGTGGGAATCTCCCCGCTTTGCCCTCCGCACCCCTGTTGCTGTGCACTCCTCCGCGACTTCGAAGCTCTTCGCACTGCCTCCCGCAGTCTCCGCCCGCGAAGGGACTTCCTAGTGTGTGGAAACTTTTCCTCCTTCACAGCTCCCTCCCACTGGTGCAGGTGCCGTCCCTATTCTTTTGTCTCTGTTTTTTCTTTTTTTCTTTTGCCCTACCCAGGTACGTGGGGGAGTTTCTTGCCTTTTGGGAGGTCTGAGGTCTTCTGCCAGCCTTCAGTAGATGTTCTGTAGGAGTTGTTACATGTGTAGATGTATTTCTGGTGTATCTGTAGGGAGGAAGGTGATCTCTGCGTCTTACTCTTCTGCCATCTTCAAGGTCCCCTCCTTTGCTGCTTTTAATATGTTTTCTTTGTATTTAGTTTTTGATCGTTTGATTAATATGTGTCTTGTCATGTTTCTCCTTGGCTTTATCCTGTATGGGACTCTCTGTGCTTCCTGGACTTGAATAATTATTTCCTTTCCCATATTAGGGACGTTTTCAACTATATTCTCCTCACATATTTTCTCAGTCCCTTTCTTGTTCTCTTCTTCTTCTGGGGCCCCTATAATTCGAATGTTGGTGTGTTTACTGTTGTCCCAGAAGTCTCTGAGACTGTCCTCCATTCTTTTCATTCTTTTTTCTTTATTCTTCTCTACAGTAGTTATTTCCACTATTTTATGTTCCAGGTCACTTATCCGTTATTCTGCCTCAGTTATTTTGCTACTGATTCCTTCTAGAGAATTTTAAATTTCATTTATTGTGTTGTTTTTCATCGTTTGTTTACTTTTTTGTTCTTCTAGGTCCTGGTTAAACGTTTCTTGTATTTTCTCTGTTCTATTTTCAAGATTTTGCATCATCTTTACTATCATTACTCTGAATTCTTTTTCAGGTAGACTTCCTATTTCCTCTTCATTTGTTTGGTATGGTGGGTATTTACCTTGCTCCTTCATCGGCTGTGTGTTTATCTGTCTTCTCATTTTGCTTAACTTCCTGTGTTTGGTGTCTCTACTTCACCGGCTGCAGGTTCCTAGTTCCCATTGTTTCTTGTGTTTGCCTTCAGTGGCTAAGGTTGGTTTAGTGGATTGTGTAGGTTTCCTGGTGGAGGGGACTTGTGCCTGTGCTCTGGTGGATTAGGCTGGGTCTTGAATTTTTGGTGGGCAGAACCACAACGGGGGTGTGTTTTGGTGTGTCTGTGAACTTTTTATGATTTTAGGCAGCCTGTCTGCTACTGGGTGGGCTTGTGTTCCTGTGTTGCTAGTTGTTTGGTATGGGCTGTTCAGCACTGTAGCTTGCTGGTTGTTGAGTAGAGTTAAGTCTTAACTCTGAGATGGAAATCTGTCAGAGAGCTTTTGCCCTTTCATATTACATGGGGCTGGGAAGTCTCTGGTGGTCCAATATCCTGAACTCAAATCTCCCACCCCAGAGGCTCAGGCCTGACACCCGGTCAGAGCACCCAGACACTGTCAGCCACACAGTTCTGAGCAAAATGGAGAAAAAAGAAAGAAAGAAAGAAAAATAAATAAAATAAAATAGTTATTGAAATAAAAATATTATTAAAAATAAAATAATTAAGAAGTAGTAAAAATAAAAAAAGAAGAAAGAAAGCAAGAGGGAAATCAAACCAATAAACAAATCCACCAGTGATAACAAGCACTACAACTGTACTAAAAAAGAAAACAAAAAACACTGACAGAACTGTAGGACAAATGGGAAAAGCAAAGATGTACGAACAAAATCACACAAAGGAGCATACACATACACACTCACAAAAAAAGAAAAAGGAAAAAAAAATATATATGTAAAGAGAGAGCAACCAAATCAATAAACAAATCCACCAATGATAATAAGCTCTAAATACTAAACTAAGATAAACATAAAACAAGAAAGAAATTAAATTGTGCAAGCAAACCCCAATTCTATAGTTGCTCTCAAAGTCCACCACCTCAGTTTTGTAATGATTCATTGTCTATTCAGGTTTTCCTCAGATTCAGGGTACATCAAGTTGATTGTGGAGATTTAATCTACTCCTCCTCAGGCTGAAAGTTGAAATTTCCCTTTTTCTTCTTTGTTTGCACATCTTCTGGGGTTCAGCTTTGGATTTGGCCCTGCCTCTGCATGTCAGTCACCTGAGGGCATCTGTTCTCTACCCAGACAGGATGGGGTTCAAGTAGCAGCAGATGAGGGGGCTCTGGCTCACTTAGGCCTTTGGGAGGGACGGGTACAGTAGTTATAATTGGAATGTGGGGTGAGCATGTGGCAGCAGAGACCAGCACGACTTTGCAGCAGACTAAGGCATGCCATGTGTTCTCCCGGGAAAGTTGTCCCTGGATCATGGGACCCTGGCTATGGCAGACTGCACAGGCTCCTGGGGGGGAGGTGTGTGTGTGTGGATAGTGACCTGTGCTTGCACACAGGCTTCTTGGTGGCTGCAGCAGCAACCTTAGTGTTTCATCCCCGTCTCTGGTGTCCGTGCTGATAACTGTGGGTTGCGCCTATCTCTGGAGCTCAGTTAGGTCGTGCTTTGAACCCTGTCTCCACACTCAGCCCAAAATATGTTCTCTTGCCTCTTAGGCAGTTCCAGAGTTTTTCCCGGACTTCCTCCTGGCTAGCTGTGGTGCACTAGCCTCCTTCAGGCTGTGTTCGTGCAGCCAACCTCAGTCTTCTCCCTGGGACATGACCTCCGAAGCCTGAGCGTCAGCTCCCATCTACCCACCACCCTGTCAGGTGAGCAGACAAGCCTCTCAGGCTCGTGAGTGCTTGTCAACACTGATTCTTTGTGCAGGAATCTCTCTGCTTTGCCCTCTGCACCCCTGTTGCTGCCCTCTCCTCCATGGCTCCAAAGCTTCCCCCCAGCCCATCCCCCATCTCTGCCAGTGAAGGGGCTTCTTAGTGTGTGGAAACTGTTTTTCCTTCACAGCTCCCTCCCAGAGGTGCAGTTCCTGTCCCTATTCTTTTGGTCTCCATTTTCTCCTTTTTTCTTTTGCCCTACGCATGTATGTGGGGAGTTTCTTGCCTTTTGGGAAGTCTGAGGTCTTCTGCCAACATTCAGTAGGTGTTCTGTAAGAGTTGTTCCACATGTAGATGTATTTCTGATGTATCTGTGGGGAGGAAGATGATCTTCACATCTTACTTCTCTGCCATCTGAAGGTCCTTTCTCTGCAGATGTATTCGTGAGGAGTGACAAATTCCGTGTCCTCATCTTCTGCCATCTTGACTCCTCCCCTTCTGATTTTTACATTTTAATTGGTTGTGTTTAGGGTTGAGTAGGCACTGTTTTAGACTCTATATTGCTTTCAATAGTTATGCTAAGTCTGTCGTATTTTCCTTTTAATTCTATAATTGTGAAGCAGTCTAAATGTTTTTGCAAGTGATGACAATTATAAGAGAGTATTAAAATCCCATTTATGCTTTTGTTCTGCAATCAAATGCATAAGTTATATTTCCTAATATATCAAACATTTGGGTTCTTTAACTCTCCTTTCCATGGGTAAAATAAGCTGTGTTGTAGTGACTTTTGGCTGAAAGCAAAATGTCCTGATCCAAAAGAAAGCCAAGGAAAAGAATGATGCCATACTAGGAATGAACGTATAACCTGGATAAGGGAAGATATGAGAGATGACAGAATTCCTATCTTTAGATATTTGAAGAGTGTCATGTGTAAGAGGGAGTAGACTTTATTTTATTTGGCTCTAGTAGGCTGAACTAGGTTGAAATATCAGGGATGTGGATTTTTGTCTCCCTAGAAGGGAGGACTTCTAACAATTATGATTGTTAAAAATATAACCATCCACATTAATAACTTTTTCACTGAACTTGCCCTGAGAGCTAGAGCTGAAGTAGAGGCAGCCCCTTTTGCTGCATCTACCACCAGATACCCTCTAGTCTGTCACATATTCTGGTAGTTGCTTTCAATGGTTGCAAGGATAGTCTCAATAAATATGAATGTCTGAAGCTACTGTAATTCTGTTAATAAATACAGATCTTTAAAGTTACTGAAGCTTCTGAAAGTTCCATGCTATATAAGCAGAACTAATTGTGCCCTCAGCCAAATTCTGAAGGAGACAAAGTTTATCTGAGTTGTAATATCTTTTCCAAGCCCCTATCTTTCAAGGCCTAGTGACCTGTCAGCCCTTCCCCAGACCTTTATCCCATGTTTCATTCCTAAATGTTCATCGACTAACCTCAGCAGTCATCTAATCCCTGATAAGGTTGTCTTTCAAAATAAATTGAGTTTTATCTCTCTCAGCATTGAGGATAGGAAAAGCTGGATCTCAAACTTTGAAAATACAGATAGAGATAATTGTAAAACTGAATGTAAAACAAGAATTTTGAAATGTATGTTTGGCGGCTATTTGCCAGGAAGACTTACTTTTTGGTTATCTCTGCAAGTTTGATTACTTCCTCTGACTACTAAGGGAACAACCTGACTGAAGTTATTGCCAAAACACTGATCTTTTTGGTTCTGAAAATATCTTCAACAGTACCGTTATCCAGTTGTAGATTGGCAAGATATTTTCACCTTACATAGAAAAGACCTTTTGAGTTTATGAAAGTTCACACTTGAATACCTCTTTGGTAGAATACAAATACATTTGTATACCCAAACGTGGACTGATATGCCCTTGACCCTATTTTTCTCTATTTTCTGCAGAAATTATCATTCTGATGCTTTCCCTAAGGAAGGAACACAAATTCTCAAGATGGGAAATAACAGCGCAAACAGTACAAGAGCAAAGTGCACTGATCTTCAAATGTCATTTCAGTACTCTCTCTATGCAACCACCTATATCCTCATATTTATCCCTGGTCTCCTGGTTAACAGTGCAGCCTTGTGGGTTTTGTGCTGCTTCATCAGCAAGAAAAATAAAGCCATCATTTTCATGATCAACCTCTCTGTGGCTGACCTTGCTCATGTGCTGTCCTTACCCCTCCGGATTTACTATTACATCAGCCACCACTGGCCTTTCCAGAGGGCCCTTTGCCTGCTGTGCTTCTACCTAAAGTATCTTAACATGTATGCCAGCATTTGTTTCCTGACATGCATCAGCCTTCAGAGGTGCTTCTTTCTCCTCAAGCCTTTCAGAGCCAGAGACTGGAAGCGTAGGTATGATGTGGGCATCAGTGCTGCCATCTGGGTCATCATGGGGACTGCCTGTTTGCCACTTCTAATTCTGAGAAATGCTGGATTAGCCTACAATACTGAATCCTGCTTTTCCAATTTAGGGCTTCAACATATTAGCATGGTGTCTACTATTGGCATGGTAACTGTAGCTGAACTTGGAGGGTTTGTCTTACCTGTTGTAATTATTACTTATTGCACATGGAGAACAAGAAAGATTTTACAGGAATTCCAAGTTCCCCCTCAGAATACCAAAGAGAGAAAAAAGGCTTTGTGGATGGTCCTGTTGTGTGCAGTGGTATTCATTGTTTGTTTCACACCCTACCACCTCAACTTCCCTTTCTTTATGATGGTGAAGCAACGAATCTTTTCAAACTGCTCCTTTATTAAGAGCACTCTATTTTTCCACATAATTTCCCTGTGTCTTGCAAATTTAAATTGCTGTTTTGATCCAGTTGTATATTATTTTGTGACCTCAGAATTTCGTGATGGATTTTCAGAACATGGTAGTTTGGTTCTTCAGTCATGTGTGAAATGCAAGGATGGTGCTTTGGAAATTCAACATAGGAAGGAGGATCTTCAAACTCTCTCTTGAATTTATGGATGATTCCAAAACAATGTAATCAAATAATTACCGAAAATAATCTATATGCTCTATCAGTTTATCTATGTCACCTTGAAGATCTTTCTTAAAAATAATGGTACCCTTAAGTGCCTTAATGAAACATGGCTCCCTTCCCTTAATCCTCAATATGATTTTTCTGGAAAAAAAAATTAAAGCCTATATTTTCTGTCCAAATGGAAATATTGTTCTATGGAGTATATGAGAAAATAACTTTATTTACACAAAAGGATGAACAACAGAATGAATTGCATCCCTGTTCCTCAGCAATAGGTCCAAAATTTTCACCTTCCCCTGCTAGAAACAAAATGCAAATTGAAAATACATGAACATAGATGAATTGTCTACACATTTAAAAATGTACAGGAGAACAGTACTATCCTTGCTTTATCAAGAAGTTATACACAGGTGGAGTGGCCAAGATGGCACAGTAGGAAGACCCTGATCTCAACTCCTTCCACAGGCACACCAAAATTACAAATACTTACAGAGCAACTATTGATGAGAACAACCTGAACACTAGCAGAAAAGATATTTTACAACTAAAGATGTAAAGAAGGAACCACAACAAGATGGGTAGGAGAAATGGAGACACAGTATAGTCAAGAGCCATACACCTGGATAGGTGACCCACAAACAGGAGAATAATTACAATTGCAGAGGTTCTCCACAAGGAAGGAAGTGTCTGAGCCCCACATTGAGCTCCCCAGCCCAGAGATCCTGTACTAGAAAGACAAGACTCTAGACTGTTTGGCTTTCAAGGCCAGTCAGGCTTAGTTTCAGGAGAGCTGAAGGGCTGTGGGAAATAGAGACTGTACTCTTAAAGGGTACACACAAAATCTCACAAGCTCTGAGACCCAGGGCAGAAGCAACAATTTGAAATAAACTTGGGTTAGACCCACTTGCTGATCTTGGAGAGCCTCCCAGAGAGGAGGCAATTGGGACTCACCCTAGGGACATTGACACTGACAGCAGCTATTTTTGGAAACTCATCTTACCATGAGGGTACTGATGCTGGCAACACCATTTTGGGATCTTCCCTCTAGCAGGCTGGCTGATTTAGGACCCCCTGAGCTTCCAAGGACTTGGCCTTATTCACCACAGCACACAAGATCCAGCCCAACACACAACAGGCCAACACCAGGTCTGTGAAATCAAGACCCCAGAGCCAGAGTAACCAGGACCCAGCTCCACCCACCAGTGGGCCAGCACTAACCCTGGGGTCCAGCCTTACCTCCCAGGGTTGGGAATTAATCCTGGGATATTTGGGTCCCAGCCCTTCCCACATGTGGGTGGACATCAACTCTGGGACCCCCTGCACACTGCAGGCAGATATGCCAGGATTCATTTGTGCCCATTGGGCCAGAACTAGCCCAAGGACCCTCTTGGTCCCAGCTCCACCCACCATTGAGTTGACACTATCTCTGGGACTCCAGACCATAGTCAGAGACCCCAGGTCCTAACTCTGCACACAAGGAGCTGGTAGTATCCCTGGGACCAAGCTTTACCCACTAGTGGGAAGGCACCAGCATCAGGATGCCCAAGGCACCATATCCTCCCCTCCCATGAGGATGTTGAAACCAGCTCCAGGACACTGAGCCCCTCAGCCACATGCCCTTGGCCATGGCCCAGCTCAACAGCAGGTGGATACTAGCTCCAGGATCCTAACCCTGCAGCCAGCCACCTTGTGACATAGCCCAACTCACCAGTAGGCTGGCACCAGGATGAGGATTTCCCTTGTCATACACCTAGTCATGGCAGGATTATGCCTTACCCACCAGAAGCCAGTAGTCTCCACACAAGGCAGGGGCTGGCAACCAACTGGAACAGGAGACAGCTACACCTACCAGTATCTGTAGTAGTCAGCTTATCACAGCAGAAAGACCCAGATAGCCCCATAGGGGGCACCCTGAGAGCATATAGCTCTGGTGACAAGAAGGGAGTGTGCTGCTGTGCCCCATAGCATGTCTCCTACATAAGGTCACTTCTCTAAGATAGGGAAATATAAGCAGTATACCAAATACATAGAAATAAAGACAGCAAATTAAGCAAAATGAAGTGACAGAGCAATATGTTCCAAATGAAGCAACAAGATAAAACCCCAGAAGAAGAACTAATTTAATTGGAGATAAGCAATCTACCCAATAAAGCATTCATGGTGGTGATCATAAAGATGCTCAAAGAACTCAGGACAAAAAGTGGGTGAACACAGTGAGAATAGTAAAGAAAAAGAGTTAGAAAATATAAAGAAGAACCAAACAGAGATGAAGAATATAATAAATGAACTAAAAATTAAACTTGAATGAATCAACAGTAGATTAGATGATACATAGGAACAGATCAGCAAAGTGGAAGACAGAGTAGTGGAAATTGTTTTAGCTAAACAGAAAAAAGAACACAGAATTTTAAAAATTGGGAACAGTTTAAGAGACCTCTGAGACAACACCAAGCATAACAACATTCTCATTATAAGGGTCCCTGAATGAGAAGAGAAAGAGAAAGTGGCAAAGAACATATTTGAAGACATAATAGCTGAAAACTTAACTAACCTGGGAAATGAAAAAAAAACCATCCAGATCCAGGAAGCACAGAGACTTTGCAAGCAGGATCAAACCAAAAATGACTACACAAAGACACACTGTAATTAAAATGAAAAAAAGAAAAAGAAAAAGAAAAAAGAGAATATTAAAAGCAGCAAGGGAAAAGTAGCAAGTTACATACAATGAAACTCCCATAATACTATCATTGACTTTTAGGCAAAAACTCTGCAGGTAGAGGTGTGGGTCATGATATGTTTAAAGGGATGAAGTGGAAAAAACTATCATGAAGAATACTCAACCTGACAAGGCTAACATTCAGATTTGAAGGAGATATTAAAAGTCCTACAGACAAGCAAAAACAAAAAGAGTTCAGGAGCACAAAACCAGATTTAAAAGAACTGTTAAAGGGATTTCTCTAAGCAGAAAAAGAAAGGCCTCAGCTAGAAATATGAAAATTACAAAATGAAAAATCTCATTGGTAAAGGCAAATATGCAGTAATGGTAGTAAATCAATGACATATAAAGCTAGAAGGAAGGTTAAAAGACAAAAGTTGTAAAATCAGCTGTATACATGATAAGTACTTAAGGGGATACACAAAACAAAAAGATGTAAGTTATGATGTCAAAAACAATAAATGGGGGAGAAGTAAAAATTCATGGTTGGAAAAATGCATTCAAGTTAAGAAATCAGCAACTTATATAACATACATATATATAGATTGCTATATATAAAACCCACGATAACCACAAAACAAAAATCCATAATAGATACAGAACACCAAAGACAGAAATGAATCCAAACATACCACTGAAGATATTTATCAAATCACAAGGGAAGAGACCAAAAGAAGAAGAAAGGAACAAAAAGAACTATATCTATCAATATTTATTTATTTATTTATTTGTTTTTATTTTTGGTTGTGTTGGGTGTTCATCATTGTGTGTGGGTTTTCTCTAGTTGCAGCAAGCGGGGTCTACTCTTCATTGCAGTGCATGGGCTACTCATTGTGGTGGCTTCTCTTGTTGGGGAGCATGGGATCTAGGCATGTAGGCTTCAGTAGTTGTGGCACACAGGCTCTAGAGCACAGGCTCAGCAGTTGTGGCACACAGGCCCAGTTGCTCCGCTGCACTTGGGATCTTCCTGTACCAGGGCTCTAACCCATGTCCCCTGCATTGGTAGGTGGGTTCTTAACCACTGCACAACCAGGGAAGCCCAATAATTACTTTAGATATAAATGGAATATATGCTCCAATCAAAAGACATAGAGTGGCTGAATGGATACAAAAACAAGGCTCATATATATGTTGCCTGCAAGAGATTCCCTTAAGATCTCAAGACACATGTGGACTGAAAATGGGAAGATGGCAAAAGATATGCCATGCAAATGGAAATGAAAAGAAAGCAGGGGTAGCACTACTTCCATCAAACAAAATAGACCTTAAAATAAAGACTGTAATAAGAGACAAAAAAAGACATTACATAATGATAAAGGGATGTATACAAGAAGAATATATAATAATTGTAAATATGTATGCACCCAACCTCAGTATATAAATACATAAAGCAAATATTAACAGACATAAAATGAGAAATTGACAATATCACAATAATTGTAGGGGATTTTAACACTCCACTTACATCATTGGACTGATCATCCAGACATAAATTCAGTAAGGAAACACTGGCCTTAAATGACACATTAGATCAGCAACAGAATACAAATTATTTTCAAGTGCACATGAAACATTCTCCAGGACAGATCACATGCTAGATGAAAAAACAAGTCGTGGTAAGTTTAAGAAAATTGAAATCATATATCAACCATCTTTTCCGACCACAATGTTATGAGACTAGACTAGAAATCGATTACATGGAAAAAAACTGCAAAAATCACAAACACATGGAGGCTAAACAATGTGCAATAAACAACCAATGGATTACTGAAGATCTCAAAGAGAAAATCAAAAGTACCTGGAGATAAGTGCAAATGAAATCACAATGATCCAAAATCTGTGGGATTCAGCAAAAGCATTTCTAAGAGAGTAGTTTATAGAAATATCATACAGTAAGTTCCATACATACAAACCTTCAAATCACGATCTTTCAAAGATGTGAACATGCATTTGCATGTCTAATCATGTAAGTTAGTTCACGTGTCTGGCATACATTGTGTCATACATGCATCCTGTATGAGGGGTTGTGCTTTTGTGTACTTTATTGTACAGTACTGTATAGAGTACAGTATCTTTATTTCAAGCCCAGGAAGTCCGCAAGCCAAGTGTAAAACTAGCACTATATAGCCAATTGTGTTATTTGGGTACCTATGCTAACTTTGTTGGACTTACGAATGCACTCTCAGGATGGAACTTGTTCGTATGTAAGGGACTTACTGCACAAGCTTTTCTCAGGAAACAAGAAAAATCTCAAATTAAACAGCCTAGCCTTACACCTATAGGAACTAGGAAAAGAAGAATTAACAAAACCCAAAGTTAGTAGAAGGAAAGAAATAAAGATCAGAGCTGAAATAAATTAAATAGAGAAAGGTCAGTAAAACTAAGAGTTAGTTCTTTGTAAAGATGAACCAAATCGATAAAGCTTTAGCCAGGCTCATCAAGAAAAATAGAGAGAGGACCCAAATCAATAAAATGAAAAACGAAAAAGAAGTTACAGGTGACACC